GTCGCGTCGGACGCTGCTAGTGGTGGCTCGCAGGGCCTCCGGTCACTTCGCGGCGGGGAGTCGGGCTTTGAACACTCGGGGCGGCGGGCGCCGTCCCTGGCCCGCCCGGGCCCTTGTGCTGGCGGCTGCATCTTTTAAATTGAGCGACACGACGATCCTGGGATAGGAGGTGAGGGTGGCGGACCGCGAGGGGTCAAGGTGAAGCTGGTGCCTCGTAGCCAGAGACCGGTGAGCACTTTTTTGAGGGTGGAAGTTAATTGAGCCGGGTGGAAATGGGTTCCCTTGGGCTTTGCCTTGGTGGAGGGCTCCTCTCGCACTATCAGCAGCCTCCTCATGGGCTTGAATTTTGTGGAAACACCAGCTCGTTCCTAGAGGACTAGGTTTGCTCGATCTATTGCCTGGACCAGGCTTGCTTCCAGCACTGGGCAAGGATGTGAGAACTGCCAAACAGTAGTTGTCCTTAACGCACTGGCAGAAACTTATTTTTAAGCATTTCATGCACTACCCAGGTGTAACCACTTTCTTCCCTTTGTCTTAACTATGTAGTCTTGGGCAAGTCACTCCACCTATCTATGCCTCAGTTTCCTCGTCTGTAAAGTGGGAATGATAATAATACAAACCTTAAAGGATTGTATAAGGTTAGTAAAATAGTGACTGGTTCAAGGTAATTTCTATGCGTGTGTTAGTTGCTCTTGTGTTGCTGACATCTGACTAACAGTGCATCTCCATCTCTAGCTTCCCCATGAGGTGGATGTGCAGGCTGTTGCTCCTTTCCCTTCTGCTAGGGATCTGGTGTTATTTACATAGGAGCAGACGTACCCCCTTCAACACTGGAAAACGGGTTTTGCAGTAACACCTCCCATGGTTAACCAGCCTTGTACAAAGTATATCTCAGAATGTGGGATCAGAGATGACCTTTGTCAAGGACACTGCTGGGAAATGGGATCTTGGACCTTCTCTGGAAGCTCTGGGGTGTGACAGGATGTTTGCCTTTTGGGGTTGGTGAGGAGGGTGAGTGGATGAGGTTTCACTTGAATTCCTTCAGGCCTTGGGCCTCCTGACAGGCTTACTTTCTGTGAGTGTGGGAGTCTATTTTAAGGGTCCAGGGGCCTGATCTTGTCCCTTTCTCCCCCACTCATTCATCTCCAGTAGACTGTCCCTTCCATGAGTGTAGTCTCCCTAGGCTGCACCAGTTTAGTTTCTTTCTTCTTGAACTCCACAGACAGGAGTTTTGAACCTGGGGCCCAGGAAACCTCCTGAAAGGTACATAAAACACTTGGAGCACAGGTATATATTTTTCCAGAGGGTTCCCTTTTCACTATATTCTCCAGGAGGCCTGTGCCCAGCAAAAGTGGACTCTGAACTGCTGGTGGGGAGGTGCAGGTTCTCATCCCCTGTCCAGGGCAGGCCAAAATTTTTAGGGAGTTCAGATGTTAGTGTGCACATGTTCCTTTGCGCCGTCTCTCAGAGTACACCTGCCAGTGGAAAATTCAGGTCTGCCTTGATTTGAGAAAATCTGATAAAGAGGTCAGTTGGGGAAAGAAGGCAGGCTGTGGGGCTAGGGACTGCCCCTAAAGGTGGGGCCTTTAGGATAGGATGCAATTCATGAAAATTTGAGTTCCAGTTGTCAGGAGACTTCTCAGGACTTTTGCACTTGCTGTTCCCTCTATCCAGCACACTCTTCCATCACTTCTTCAGGTGTCCAGCACTTTCTTGCCCTTCAGCTCAGATGACTTCTCTGTAGAGATGGTTTCCCTAACCACTCGGTCCAAAGAAGCCCCCTTCCCCATCAGTTTCTGTCACATTCTCCCATTGTATTTGGTTCATGGAGCTTACCTGAAATGATCTTATTCATGTATTTATTTATGGGTTTATTGTCTGCGTCCACGCAGGAGAATGTAGGAATGTTGCCCTGCCCACCACTGAACCCTGGCCCCTGGCACTCAGTAGATTTTCAATAAATGTTCCTAAGTGACAGAATGAAGAAGCGCCCATTGAGAGACATGAGGTGAGCTGGAGAGCTTTTAGAGTAGTGAAATGCAAAGGAACTGGCAGTTCAGAGCTCAGGGTTGAAAGTGACCCTTAAGGGTGGCCCCTGGCACTCAGTAGATTTTCAATAAATGTTCCTAAGTGACAGAATGAAGAAGCGCCCATTGAGAGACATGAGGTGAGCTGGAGAGCTTTTAAGAGTAGTGAAATGCAAAGGAACTGGCAGTTCAGAGCTCAGGGTTGAAAGTGACCCTTAAGGTCACATAGTTGCACCTCTAGATTAAATCAATATCTCTTCCTAGTTATTGCTTAACCCAAGCTTGAATCCTCTAGTAGCAGGGAATTCATTTCCCAGAAGACAGCCTATTCCGTTGAAGGAGAGACGTTGGGGGCAGAGAACTAGACTTAGTATCTGGGCCCCCTCTGATGAGGACAAGATGTGGCCTCCAGGCTTCTGCATGCTATAGCTCCAGTCTGCTTTGTATCCTGCCCATCCTTCATCCATCCATCAATATCCATCCCAGAGAGCTGTCTCTACTTCTCTGCCATCACTAAGGTCCCTGAGCCCCTGACCAATGTGCTACTGAGTCATGTGTCTCCAGAGAGGGCTTGCGTCAAAGAGGCATCAAGTGAAAAGGCCATTGCCGTAGCTTAGAAACCTTCAAGGCCAAGTTCTGTATTGTTCAGGTTCACCCCACCTCACTTCACTCAATGGGTGCTTCTTCATTCTGTCACTTAGGAACATTTATTGAGAATACAGAACTGTATTGGGTGGGGTGTTTGTTTCACTCTTTTGTTCTTGCCCTGGATTTTTCTGAATCATTCCTTAATTTATTAATTGTGACCACAGTTATATTTTTAAAAAAGTAATCCTTGGACTCATTTTGTTAATGGTTTGTACAAATATTCCCTGATTCATATCAGCTCACATATACAGGTTAAAACTTGGGTGAAAATGAAATGTTTTTAATATATAATTCTAATTTATTGAATCAGTTCAAGTTTCTTCACTGGAGATCACCTGCTTGGTGAGTGGAGAGGGGTCTGCTGTGGAGAGATTTGGGCACAAGATCTGCTTTCTTCACTTTGAAAAATGTTCATTCTGTTATGAAAATGGGCACACACTTAACCAAAAAAGAGGACTGGGAAGACTGTTCTTATGTGAGGGTATATCTACACATGTGCCTTAGCCACTTAGCTCAACTCATTACTTCATTTATTCAAGAAACATCTATGGAGGGAGGGCAGCTCTGTGCCAGGTACTACCCTGATGCTGACCCACATCAGTCAAGAAAACTGACAGCATTCCTCCCTTGTGGAGTTTATATCCCAGTGGCAGAGATGGACTATAGAACACTAGATCTATAATATGGTGTCAGGGGGAGAGAGATCAGTGTAACGAAGATGAACCTGGTAAGAGGATCCAGGATGGTGGGAAGGAGGCAGAGCTGGCTTTGGTTAGGGAAGATGTCTCTGAGGAGGTGGCATTCGAGTAGAAACCCAGATGAATGAGGGAACAGCCATGTGGATATCCGGGGGAAGACTATTCCATGCATATGGAGCCCAAGGTTGTGGGGGAACTCTCAGTGTGGCCAGTCTGCTTTTGACCCCTGGACATGTTCTGTCTTACTGGAGAAGGGGCAGGGGAAATGCTGCAGTGTGGGCAGAACTCTTGCCTCACCCCAGGTCCTAGCACGTGGCTGGAGTAAGATCTTGGCATTGTGTGCCCTGATGGTCGACCGGAAGTCTTGTGCCTTCCTTTACAGAGGGTGGGACCTGAGCACTGATGTGTTCTGAAACTGCCACCTGGGAAAGAGCATGAATCCAGGGGGCACTGCTGGAGTTATACCCTACACATAGTAAGACTTACCTCACCCCCCCTGCCCTGGCATGGACTTCTTCCTCTTTTATGTCATGAGATTGTATCCACCTCATCACCTAGGGGGAATC